GGGACTAGTTTGCATATATGTATACGGACGGAAAGACGCTACGTGAGGACATAGAACAAACCACGCTCCTTCCAGGGATGAAGCGGTGGACTATGAACTACCTGAGCGGTTGGCGTTCATCCGTACTGTTTTGACGTCAAAACTCCAAACTTAGAAGAATTAAACAGGGGGTTCCGCAGGGTGATGTCCTCTCCCCGCATCTGTGTAATTTCTACATCACGAAACTCCCCCAACCACCAAAGGACCTCGTACGCTGATGACTGCACGATATTGACGTCGGGCAATGGAATCGATGACATGTGTTCGAAGGTAAACGGCTATCGCTCGGACCTTTCTCGCTTTTTTTCTGCAAGGAGCCTGACACTCTCCTACACTAAATCCAACAGCGAGTATTTTTAAAAACTATACGAAGGAGTACAGACTGGTTTTAAACATTTCAGTCGATGACGTTAAAATTCTGACGGTCAACAACCCTAAAATTTTAGATATTAAATTCGACAGCCTGTGAACCTCCACCCTAACACGACCGCGATAACTGCCAAAGTACAGAGCCGCAACAAAATCCTCAAATCGCTTGCGGCCGGTCTTAAGATGCGCTGCACCAATATGGTCTTGCCGTTGCCTGGATGTAGTGCAACGCAGACCAAGAAGCTTCATACATGTCAAAACACTGTACTCCGGACTATCACGGGATGCCTCTTGGTGTCTCCAATCGAACACCTATACCTATAGTGACTTCCGTATGCTTCCGGTTAAGGAACATAACGAGCTCCTATCCAAGCGGTTTCTGCTGCGATGTTTTCGTACCCCCCCTGCAGTCGTCTGCTTGAAGCGGGACCGTCTCTTAGGAACATCAAGAGGTCCTTCTTTGATTACGTTGACGACATTGGACAGTACGTCGACCAGACTTCGCACTTAACGAACTTTAGACACGCACTGAGCGCCATTCACAGTGGAGCCATCAACACTTTCACCGACTCCCTCTCAGTGAATGGCGTACTTGGAGTAAAACCGCCATTCATCGCAGACGTAGAGCTCGAGTTGCCACGTGAATATAGAGTGACCCTTGCACAATTTCGTTCTGGATACTGTAGCAGGTTAAACTCCTACTTATCCAGAATCGGCCCCGACATACCCAATGTATGTCCTGCATGCAATGAGTCTCCGCATGACACTAACCACCTCTTTGCATGCCCAACGAACTCCACTCATCTAACACCTCGAATCAGCTCGTTTCCTGGGCCTCCCGTTAGATGATCTCGACGACAACCAAACTAAAACTTACCACCAAAGTGGGGACGAGATAACCGTTACAACAACAACAACAACGGACAGACGGACATGGCTAAGTCTACTCAGCTCAATATGCTGATCATTTATGCATATATTTTAAAGGGTCTCCGTCGTTTCCTTTTGTGTGATACAAACTATGTGGCAAACTTTATTATTCCCTGTTCAGGGTATAACATATGTAAATAGCTGAGTCAGTAACCGTTAGTTTTGAAATAAGTAAACTATTGGTGAACAACCTCTGGCATACACATTTATGCTATAAAGCGAAAAAGCGCGTGATTTTTCGGCGAAATTATATTAACTTTGCTGTTTTAAAGTTAGAAGCAGTCAGTGAATATCACAACTGAGCTTTCGAAGTTTGTTATTTTTAATTTCTCAAATTAAGCTTTTAAATTTTTTTTTTTGCTGTGTTAACCAAAAAATCGTTATTTTTTAGCAACACACCTCACCTCACGTATTATACATACACGTACGTATTACACAGTATTACGCAGAAAAGATACGCCTTGATTTCTCCTTTGCCATATTATATAAACGTACTCAAACATTAGGGTGCCCTTATTTCCCAAGTTGATTGAAGGTCATAAACTTTTTTTTCATAAAATCCTTAGTTGAAAAGTTATACCCAGTTACTGTTATACATCAAATGATTTGAGCATTCATGCAAGTGTCTTATAAATTCTATGTCACTCATACGACATGGTGTATTATATGAATACAGTACACTTGATACATTAAGTAGATCAACTTTGACCTTGCATAACTTTGTCGCAAGTGATTTTTTTGAAAAATGTCGCAAAAGTTTTTGTAGAGCGTTCAATTTCCTATAAAAATAATTCGATGCCGCAGCCATGTATTAACTGGCTTCGCAACGAAAAAGTACGAAAACCCTATGTTATTTAAATGGGAAATAAATCGTCTTTGCCTACGCCGTAATACATATATAAGTACAACACATATATGTATGTGTTTAGTTGTACATACTCTTTAATACTTTTTGACATCAAATGTTAATTTTCGCTACAGATTAAACCACTTAACGTCAAAGTTCAGAAGAACTAATGCAAATATAAACAATAAAACAAAAACACTCAACGAAACGAAATAATACAAACATAAGAAAAAAATTATAAATAAAATAAATAAACTACTATAATCAGCTAGCAACTGAAAGTAATGGGGATTTTTTGCGTTGGGCTTTGGGATGATCACGCTTTTGTTGCAATTATTTGGACATACATTTTTGCCGTTTCCTGACTGTACCTCTGAAGACAAATTGTTATGTTTGTATTTCAATTACACTTCCAAATTTTTAACTTCTATATGCGAGTATAGTAGTAAATCAAATTCCTTATGACAAACAACAGTTTTTTCTTACTATAAGTCTTTTTTAAACTTCCGAATTTTAGAACCGCAAAACTGTTAATCCTTCAAATTGTCGATTTCTTTAGTGCTGTCATTTGTTGTATGTCATTTGACGAAAATTTTGTTAATTCTTTACTGTTATTTTGAGATTTGAAAAATTCATTAGCCACCAAATTAGAAAATCTTGATAAAGTGGAACAGGGAAACTTTAATTTTGACTGACGTTAATATTATTCTTCGAACATAGTGAGAATGTTTCTAAAACGTTCGTTATCAAATGAAACAAAAAAGCTGCTTCGGTTTTTTCATATTATAAAGAGTATTGAAGTTCGAGCTTTTAGCAGATCTATGGTAAAATTTGTTTGGTCACAGAATGACGTAGTCGCAATATTGTGACATGCATCAGTATAATTTAGTTAAACCGGAGATTCGGAGATCAAAACAAAAAATTGGATATTCCGAAAACGTCGTTTGGGAAAGCAACATATCTTGATTTTTTGAAAAAACAAGTAGTGATTCAGTATATTTGAAGTTTCAAATTTCAAATCGTTTAAGCTATTATATTAAGTTGGTTGGTTGAAAAAGCATACGGCCGTTATTGAGCCATAATTAGACTCATTGTGCGCCCAAGTGGTAACCAATTAAGCCTTATTCAGCAACTCAATGGATTTGATAAAATACTTGATATTTTGCCGTCCAAGCTGACCAACTTCAAGTTTTTTTTAGTTGGAATTTGGCGAATATAAATTCTAGCTTCTCATCATCATTCGTACATGCTCTGCATTCTGCTGAATCTATTTTACTCAGTTTCAGTTTAGAGATTTACTTTACTCTACGGTAGTCCAGTGTGCGCACCCTACAAGAAATACTTCTAAGATGCTAAAAATTGGACCAAGAGTTGAAATCGGACTATTATTGTTAAAAAATATTTCTGAAATGTATTGAAGGTTATTCTGCAGAGTTGGTCATCCTCTGTCAGGTACGGGGACCTGACTATCAAGAGAATGGTCTAAAGTTATCATTCATCTGAGCTTTAAAGTTTTTTCTGACCTCACTGAGACTGTAATCCAACATAATATGTATATGTAAATGCGTTAATGTATTTTGTCGTAATAGAAAACAAACACCTTTTGTCAAAGTCATCTTATATTCATATATGAAAGTGTTAATGATGCTAATGGTCCATCATTAGGTGCATTATCCGCTTTCCCAAAATGGACCCGTATGTGAATTCAAATTGAAGTCAGTCAAAGTCTCGCTGTATTTTTTTAAATACCAAAAAGCCAAGACGGTAAAAGTGAACCTTTTTTTTTCATTATTGACATTTAACCTTAAATCGCTTCATCAATCTCAATTTTTTACTTGGAAAATGGGAATGATAATTGGAAATGATAAAAGTAGGCAAGGTAGGTATAGTATTTTGCATGTCAAAATTATGTTAACAATTATTTAGACGATATCCACATACCAAATATTTTCATTTTAAAAACTGATTTATTTTGATCCGTTTTTTAATTATTTTCAATCTTTCTATTATCAAATCCATCTTCATCATGAGTTTTACAGTTTATAAATGTAACCACTATTTTATGGTAACTAAAACTAAAAAATACCAGAATTGAGCATTTCCACTGTTAAATGAGAAAAATAATGCGAATTCTAATGTTTTGAAATGTACGCTTACAGATTCATTTATTTACAAAGTGAAAATATAATAAGAGAATTCATTAACATTCACTGCCACTTGAGACGATTGTTGTTTTTGTGGAACAATGTTAATTTTTGTGGGTGACATATTTACATGGGTACGCATATGTGTATGTAGGTTTAGGAATGCATTATTTGTTCGTCAATGTTATAGGAGCAAATGTACGTACATATATGCGCGCACATGTTATTACTGATAAGCGACGTCACGTAAGAGTCACGCGACATGCAACACACACACGAAAAAGTTTAAGACGATGTAATAAAAGTTTCATTTAACTTAACTTAATTAAATTTAAATCTTTTTGAAATATTCTTAATTTATTTATAAATAGGTAGACTATTTTTAGTAGTTGGATTTTAGTTTTGAGCTTTTACAATATGAAAAATTATAACTAAAAAACCAAATGTGTGCAAAATCATGTATACAAATTGAACAATGGCAACATTGCTCAAAAGCAAACAAAAGACAAAGTTGACAAATTGTGTAAATATGGGCGGTAAGTACGAAAGGGTGGAACTTCGGGGACTGTTTCTAGCATAAACTTCGCACACATTTCGTGTGCCTGCCTCAGTTGTTTAAATACGAAAACCAAATCGCGCTTAACCATCCAGCTTTCAGTGTAGTGTAGTTATTATATAAATATTTGATTGCTGCGCTGTTTTGTGTGGGCTTTGCTATGCTGATCAATGCACAGGGTGAGAATAAAACTTGATTATTGTTTAATTTTATTTGTGTTTATATTTCTGTTTGTGCACCTGAGGTGTGAAGTGGAGACAGCTAATGATATTGAATTGTATGGGAAATACACACATATATCTATGTATACCGATTGTTTTAGTTTTGAATGTTAATGTGAGTAAAAATATGAAAATTATTAGCAAAGCTAGAAAATAAAACCGAATTATAGAATAAATGGTATCGAGAAATGTACATTAGTTTTATTATGAAATTATAACTGTGAAGCGGCTAAATGGCAGCAAGTCCGGCTTCAGCGCATTAAATTAGCATTTGTTAGCGCTTTGATTCTTTTGTCTTAGTTTTTAATTTCTTTTCGTGTGTTTGTTTTTGGCACACAATGAATTTCTGCTGCCATTCTTTCAAATATTATTTATTGTTTGCTATTAATTTGTTAATTTGTAGTTAAATAATGAAAACTTTTATTTTCACATGTTTTAGTGAAAGACCAGGAAATGTTGTTGGTCAATAATAAGTATTAGCAAATTTGAGATATTTAAATAGTATATTTAAACCATAACTATATACATTTATGAGTATAAGTTACATAACAAAGGATTTGGAGCTAACTTTTCTTTATATTTCACACAAGTGTTAAGGCAAAAATGCAGAGATTTGCAATGTTTATTAACTAAAAGCATACAAAGATGTATCATTTTTCAAAAAAAAAAAAAAAAAAATCATTATCACAGAGTTAGAAAAGTTAGCATAAAAATTTCTATTTTTAATTTTTCTTCATTCCTGTTTTATTTTTTTATAAAGTTTTTGAAAAAAATTCCAAAGGGAACGAAAAGGGAATTTCATGAAAATTAATTGACAAAAGTTATATAACTGAGTTTGCCAATTAATTTTAATGAAATTTCATTTCTTTTGAAAATTTGTTGTTTATTCATTCTGTTCAAAGTAAAATATTTTATGTTTTGAATGTTTCAATTAAACACTGTTATAGTCCAAGTGTTCAATCAGCTTGTTGGCACAAACCCCATTTGACGACCGTTTTTTGAACACCGACAGTTGTTTTTTCAACACTCTTTTCACTCCGTCTTGAATATACTCTTAAATACCTTTTGACATCAAATGTTAATTTTCGCTACAGATTAAACCGCCAAAGTTCAGTAGAACTAATTCAAATATAAACAATAAAACGAAAGATTATTTACAAACATAATAAAAAAATTATAAATAAAATAAATAAACTACTATAATCAGCATGTTTTAGTGAATAAATTACTATAATCAGCTAGTAATTGAAAGTAATGGGGATTTTTTGCGTTGGGCTATGGGAAGGTCACGCTTCTATTGCAATTATTTTGACATACATTTTTTACACCATTTTCTGACTGTACTTCTGAAGACAAATTGTTAAATAAAATTTAATTTTATTTCGTGTTTAAGAAAAACAATAAACAATTAGGAAATCTTTTTTCTTGTTTGAATAATCTTAATCACACTTTGGTATGCTCTCTAGTATTTCAATTATACTTCCAATTTTTTGACGTCTATATACGAGTATAGTAGTAAATCAAACTCCTTATGACAAAAAATATATTTTTTTCTTACTATCAGTCTCTTTTAAGCTAACGACTTTTAGTACCGCTAAATCTTTAATGCTCCAATCATTAGACCCATTGTGCGCCCAAGTTGCAACCTATGAAGCCTTATTTAGCAACTGAATGGATTTGATAAAATACTTGATATTTTGCCGTCTAAGCTGACCAAGTTCAAGTTTTTTTTATTTGGAACTTTGGGAGTCGTGGAAGATATAAAGTCTCAACCAGTCGGCTGAATGCTGGCCATTTCCAAATATAAATTCTAGCTTCTCATCATCATTCATACATGCTCAGCTTTTAACCGAATCTACTTTACCCAGTTTCAGTTTAGAGATTTAATCTACTCTACGGTAGTTCAGTGTGCACTCCCTACAAGAAATACGTGTGCACAACCTACAAGAAATTCTTCTAAGTTAGCTAAAAATTGGACCAAGAGTTAAAATCGGACTATTATTGTTAAAAAATATTTCTGAAATGTATTGAAGGTTATTCTGCAGAGTTGGTCATCCTCTGTCAGGTACGGAGACCTGACTATGAAGAGAATGGCCTAAAGTTATCATTCATCTGAGGCCATACATTTTTTCTGCCCTATCTGAGACTGTAGTCAAACATAATATGTATATGTAAATGCGGTTATGTATTTTGTCGTAATAGAAAACAAACACCTTCTGTCAAGGTCATCTTAAATTTAAATTAAATTCCATTGTCACACGCCTAAAAAATTTTAAAAGTGTTAATGATGCTAATGCGACTTCAGTTGTTGTACGTCAGGTCCATCATTTGCTTTCCCAAAATGGACCCCTCTCTGAATTCAAATTGAAGTCAGTCAGAGTCTTGCTGTATTTTATTAAAATAAATTTGTACAATTTCATGTCATGAAAAGCTTATTCTAAGCCAAGATCGTAGCTTTGCGTCTCTAAAAGAGAAAGAATCGTTATGGAATACCCCTTTGCAAAAGATATTTCGAAGAAAGTTTAGGTCATTGTGGAGATATGACATTTTCTTTCTTTTGAGAGATTATCTTTAAGATAGTATATGTATGGGTCAAAGACTGCTGGCACATACAAGTAGTTTTTGGAACTGTGACGATCTCAAGGAAGCGTTCGTGCCGAAATCATCGCTGTTTCACATAAGTTGCTTGAAAAGTAATGAAAAACTTAGTAAAAAAGAACTAATTTTATTGTGGCCAATAGAGAGTCTTATATTGAAAATAAATTCAAAATCAGTTTTAAAGCGTCAGACTGAAAAAAATATCTCATATGCAAAAAGGAGTTTTAAGAGTGGTGCACCCTGTATTAAGAAGCTGCACATCGTTTAATTTGAAGAAAACAGTTTAAAGAGTTCTTCATTTAAAAAACCAATGTCATTAAGCTTGAGCTACGACGTCAAAAATCTCTGCAAAACAATTTGGGGAGAAGATCCATCTTAAAGTCTTTGATTTAATATAAAATTAAATTTGTCCCTATTGATCAAAATAAAGGTTTCTTATTGAATTTTTCCTTAAAAAATATTTTTCGGAAGTAAGTGAAGGCCTTCTTAAAGCTTCGAAGTTAAGTGGTTCTACTACTGCTCACCTTTCCAATCGTAGAACAAACTATTGTGGTTTATGTAACAAGTTAGGTTTTTTTCTTCAGTCTGATTTTGTAAGAACGCAGGATTAAGTCTTGACGCTACGAGTACTCAAACATAACTTAGATGTTATATACTAGATTCTAATATATATACACTAGCTAACCCGGCAAACGATGTTTTGCCATATACCTTATTTTTCGAAATCATTTTTTCAGGAAATGATTTTGAAAATAACTAACAATATAGGTGTGTGGGGAATGTAATTACTGTTGAAAGAGGAATGAATAGTAGGTGAACTACAATTATTATATGCGACTGCCATCTTATGGATAGAACATAACAATATAAAAATTTTAAATTATATGTATTTTTCAACGCTGAATAATTTAAATAAATTGTTGTCCAAATATGGTTTGCATTCAAGTCGAATTGAAGTTACTTAAAAAGGAAAAAATCTTGTATGGCCGCTATATTCCATAGAGGTCTGCTATGGGCGGTTCCGACAATTGAGTAGTTCCTTGGAGAGAAAACCTCGTGCCCAACTTAATATACCCTGTTCAGTGTCATGTGTAGTTAAAATGACTCTATGCATATATAGTTAATCAACAAATAGAAGCTATTTTGAAAACGAACCCTACTTCAGCAACGATAATTAAAGAAGCGTAAAAAAATAAATTTGGGGTAACCCATTTATTGTCAGAATTGTAAATGAATCTGTTATATAAAATAAAACTATACGTACATATATAGTATGTGTGCTTATAAGTGTATGTTATTGTCTATCATAAGCTTCGTCTTTTTATTGTTGTTTGGTTTTTTATGAAAAAAAATAATCTCATTCTCTTCATTTGCTATTTAAAGAAAACCCCGTCAACGACGTTTGCCTGGGGTGTCTTTGTGAGGCCATCAGCGGTTGTAATAGTACGGCCGTCTGTACTGGCGACGTCTGTGGCCTCTACCGTATAACATGGCCCTTCTGGTCTGACGGTGGTAACCTAACGTCGAGTGGCGAATCCCCAGAATCGGAGACAGGTAAGTGTTTACCAACTACAATAATAAATCAATAAGAAAAATATTAAATTTTTTTCTCTCTGCTCATTCACACAGCATACGCCAACTGTTGTCGAACTGTTTGAACCTGTCATGAAGAAGTATCACGACTGAATAAATAAATATATTTTCTGTAAACAACAAGCCTTGTGTTGCTTTCTTTTAAATAACAGCTGTCACATATAAAAATAAAATGACTGTAATCATTTGTATCACCTCTATGACTTATCTACTCCATAGTACCGCTTTTTATTTTCAGTCGGTAGGTTACGTTTGGTTAAGAATTCGATCCTAACAGTGATCCAACTTGAACGGCTTAAAATGCCGGTCCGTTGTGGTACCTAAAACTCTTCTATAATAGATCATAAGACCCTCACAAATCGACCAACGCTTTGAGCCTATCACAATTTTGTTAAGGCCGCAAATGTCAGTTTCGGCTACGTCTTCTGATGCGCTGAAGGTAAGGCTGCCGCGATGTTTTAATCGCAGTCCTGCAAAGTCTAGACTGATTTTTTTCAGCTCATCTTCCTTTATGGGGTAATTGAGGTCCGATTTCACCTTAAAACTCTTTGAGTGCTTTAATAACCGCCTCCATCCGCATATTGTTGAAGGTCTCTTTGATATCGTAAAAGGTGCCTACCGCAAATTCCTTGTCCACAAGGACCTCCTCCCCAGCCATAAAACTACAGCGAGCAAAACAGTGTCGACCGATCTGCCTTTGTTGTAGACATGCTGGACCCTCAACAATTCGACGAATAATGAGCATAGGTAGACGATTATTACGACCA